TTTGGTATATATGTAATGCCAAAAGAAGAAATGTTAGATGTACATAAGGATTAACACAATTGCCAAATGGCATTTGGCAATTGTGTCAAGGGAGATGCTAGAGGTACATCACATCTAACATCGGGATATCCATAATGTGACACCTGGCGCCTCCTCATTGGAGGGAGAGTTGGTGGGGTCGACATTCCCTCCAATGAGAAGGTGCCGGGTGTCTATTATGGACACTCTTGTGTAAGTGGTGATGTATCACTAGAATAATTGTTGTGTCAAATGTTATGTCAACCCTTGTGTTCATTAGCATTTCTCTTAGGTCGTTGGAATATTTTAAGAACTTTGCATGTTGACGAGAGTCTTCTGAATTCCCCTACTATTTTTACTTTTAACTATTTTAATAAAGTTAATCATGTCTTTCGACTTGTCGAAAAGGCTTTAAAATGAGAAATTAGAGCATTAAAGATGAGTATTTTGTAAAGGAAAAAAAATCTGAATGCAAACACGATTTAGGCCCCGTTCGGGAGTGATTAAAATCCAATTAAAATTGAATATATGACCGTTATTGGGCCCCATCCGTCTAACAAAAGTCAACAATAATAGCTATATTTTCAATTTTAATCCGATTTTAATCCCTCCCATACAAGGTCTTAATGTTTCACGGCATTTTGTTGTTACGGGATCTATAATTTTTATTACATCTAGGTGACTAATCAGGTATTATGCACCTTTAACTTCCATTACACGATGCAATAGCGTGAAATGTTGGATGTCATGAATTTTCAATTTTTACTATAATTGTCGCAGGAAAAGCATTAGAATATTTTTAGAGTGTGTTTGCTAAAGATTAAAATCGAATTAAAATTGAAAAACTAACCGTTATTGCTGACTTTAATTAGACGAGTAAAACTCAATAACGGCTATATTTTCAATTTTAATTGTTCCCAAACAAATATTTATATGCATTTGTGGATTTGCACGAGGAATTACTCTCACACTCATTGATATAATGAACCAAATTTAGAGTGACAGGTAACGAAGAAGACCCAAAATCAGTATACACTACAGGAATAGAAAATATGATAAACCAAATTTATTCTTATCCAGTACGATCAAGTAAAGCAAGCCAAAAATAGCCAAAAATGTGCGACTGACATTG